GAGAGGGATGGGGAGAGAATGAATGAGAAGGTGAGTACATTGGACCAATGGCAGGGCTGGTGAACACACTACCACATGCCCAGGGGCCCTCTCTCCAATGCAGAAGGCAAGGAACTGAGCCTCTCCGTTCTTCCCCACCCCTCGTCAGTCAAGGCCCAGCCCCAGCCTTCTCTTCCTGTCTGCCAGGCTCAGGGAGTGTCAGGCATCAGCCCCCGGTCCCCTCAGCTTCAGTGTCCTCATCTTCAGAATGGAGAGGGCCACCCTGCCCCCATTCCAGGGCCGTAGTGGGGAGCACGCGAGATGACACTGAGCAGCACTGAAGCATTCTGGGAGAAATCAGGCCTGCGAGGAGCAGGTAGGAGGCACTGGTGGCAGAAGTCTGGTGGCATGTCCTGCTGCCCCCCCACCCCAAGTAAAGGAAGCTCCCCCTCTCCTCCTGGGGTCTCCCTCCTACCGCAGAAAGAGAGAGAGAAGCCTGGGGCTCGCAGGGCCTCTGGAGTCACCCAGGAGGGGCCCAGGTGGAAAACCAGGCAGAGAACAGGAAGCCCCCTGACTCTGCCTAGGGGCACACCACTCACCTCGGTGTGCGCGTACGTGGGTCTGGAAACAGTTGTAATACTTGTACTTCTTGCCACAGATTCCACACTCATAGGACCCTGGAAACAGGCAAGAAAAGGACCGCTCAGCCAGCACCCAATACAGGCAGCCATGAGGCCCCAGTGCCTGCGGGGATGCCTCCGGGGACTGCTAGCTCTGCTCAAGGGGCAGGGCTCAGTCTGTTGGCCATCTTGTCCCCAATAAGCAAAGAGGCAGCAGGGCCCAGCAGAGACATCCTCGAGGCCATGGAAGGGAGAAGTGGTGATCACCAGGGCAGAGGTCTCCTGAGGACGAGAAGGTGGGGAGCAACCCTCAGCTCCACCATTTGCACCCAGCCAGCCCTAGAGAAGCTCAGACACATCTCAGGACACACAAAATGCAGCAGGCAGAACTCCAGAGAGGGGAAGGAGAAAAGGAAAACACGAGTGGGCCAGAGAGGATGGCCCCTCACAATGGGCAGGCCTGTATTTAGCTCAGAGCATCACGCGGCCGCTGCTTACAGATCAAATGCTGAGGAGGAACCAGCCGCTTGGTTCTAGGATGCAACAGGAGCTGGGCCCAGGGCGGGCTGGGGAAAGGGGGCCTGGAGAGGTAAGTCGTGGACGTGTGGGTTTCCAGAGGGTCCCTGGGGCTTGGCCTCAGACCAAATGTCCTCTGAACCAGCGTCTTCCAAGTCGAGTGCAAGTCCCCTGGGAATATGGGAGCACAGGCCGTTGAAAACACTTCCAAATGTTCTTTTCGTAGAAGCAACATGACAGAGCAGTGGCAGCAGGCAGGGGGCCCCCTCCGCTGCTCTCCTTCCTCCTTTCCTCTCACCTTTACCTTCTCCCCACATTATGGGCAAGACAATTCTTTTTTAAAAATATACTTTTATTAATTTCAGAGAGGAAGGGAGAGAGAGAGAGACAGAAACATCAATGATGAGAGAGAATCAATCTTTGATCGGCTGACTCATGCACGCCCCTCACTTGGGATGGAGCCTGCAACCCGGGCAGGTACCCTGACCGGGAATTGAACCGTGACCTCCTGGTTCATAGATCGATGCTCAAGCACTGAGCCACACCAGCTGGGTGACATGACAGCTCTGTCATCCACCCAAATCCACCCTGTGTGTCCTCCATGGGCGGTATCATCCCAGGGCTCCAAGCAAAGGTGAGATCGGAAACATCGGGTATCGGACTTGGGAAGTGGGTCTAGTGACTGGGAACAATTCCTCTTGTGATTCCAGCGCTTTCTAAGTCTTAGCTCTCAACAAAATTGAAGATCTAATGGAGTTGTCAGTGGAGAGACCATTAAAAATAATGTCTGATGAGACGCCCACGTGTCATTTTGGACAGACAACTTGGAGTTAAAGAACTAAGTGACGCTGCTAATACAAACCGCCACCCCTCCCTGCCTCCTGATTTATGTGATGAAGCTTTTAAGCACTCGCACTTACGAAAACCGAAGCACGGGAATTAAGTTTATGCTGAATCCTGTCTCATTCAACATATAAGAAATATTAATTCACAGAAACATGAACCAATTGAAACAGAAAGCCCATCCGTTTTATGAAAAGGTGTATTTTCGATAACATTTTCCTTGTACATTTACGATCGCTCTAAATTTGTTTTTGGCAAATTGTATGCTGATAACAACTCGATCTGGGGAAGAAAATGTTTTAAAATATAGAGCTTTATGATCCCAACATATTTTTTAGAAATTTCAATTTACATACATCTTGTTGTGGGAGATGAGTGTGAAACAGTGATCAATAAAAGACTCTCAAGCATAAAAAATATATTACATTAGGATAAAGTCCTGTGAGGGAAGTGGACTGGAAATATGAGTTCAAGGAGAAAAAGGAAAGATGTAAAATTTCTGACTGTTAAAGATGGGCCTGTTCATAGGTTTCATAAACGGATGATGGCAGATACGAGTAGCAGTGGGGTTTGGGTTATCTTGGCTACATTTAAAAGAGTGGTTCACAGTTTTATTTCAAATGCCACATTTTTACACAATATGCCAGAAATTATACCCTTTGTGATTACGTAAATGTTGGATTAAAATGTTAGATGTCGACACAAAAATGTGAAAGAGAATATAGTTTCTCAAAATTCTTGTAGGAGATACTGAACAAAAAAAGTGTGAAGCCATAGTCCTTTAGATTCTTATCATTCCAGAGGTAACCCCAGATGTGTCTGAGGCTTCGGCTAATCCCACTGGTATCTGTTTTGCATTTTGCCCCCCCCCCCCACTTTTTAATAAGAGATTATTTGAATTTATTTGAGCTACCTGATGACATGCCAAGAAGCAAGATCTCAAGTGCTCCCCTGTCCCCCTTAAAAAACATTTTCATGCCTATTACTTCACTCTACTCCCAGTGAACCTACCGGCAGATTCTACTATACTCACTGATCAACCAAGACAGTATGGCTCAGAGAGGTTGAGGGGTCTGTCCAAGGCCCCATAGCAGGGCACACACTGAGGCTCTTGGCTTAGAGCCTTAGGGCCTTTGCCAATGGGGACCCTCCAACTGGGATCCCCTTCCCACCTTGGACATCCCAATGAACAGTCTTCAGCGGAGACAAGATGCACCTGGGACGGTGCCAAACCCCTCCTTTCTGGGTGGCTCAGCAAAGAGCTGAGTGTTGGTTCTGGCAAGCTCCGGCGCCAAGCCCTGCCAACAGCCTGTTGAAACAGGAAACTAACTATCAGCTGGCACTTGGAAGCAGGACCTGGCACCTTGGCTGCTGGGTTTGTCACAGACCAAACTCATGTGGCCTTGTCTGAATGGCTGTCTGCTCTTCTGCTGCTCCTTCAAAGCTGAGGCCCCTTCCTCTTCTTCTTCTTCTTCCTCCTCCTCCTCCTCCTCCTCCTCCTCCTGCCCTTTTCCCCCAGGCAGCCCTGTGTATGTGTGGAAACACCTCCACTCCTTGGTGCTCACAGTTCGCTGCCTAGAAACATCCTTGCAGGAGCCATTTTCCCAGGTGATGCCTGACTCCCCCTCCTGCACCCCTACAGTGACCCTCTCTGCTGACCCACCTCCAGGGAACTCCCTCCCTCACAGGTCTATATCTGGTTATGGTTCCCATAATCACAAAGTCCTTCCTTTTACTGAGTTGAAATCACCTCCTGGTAACTACCTCAGATTGGCTGGGGCTGCTTGGGATGTGTCTGCTCCATCCCCTTTCACCAAAATACTTACAGATTCTATCATCTCCCCGGCCCACAGCCCCGCTCCCCATACAAACAGCCCTTAGCTCTGCCATGAGGCTCCTCCCTACACTGAGTTAGTTAACTCTCTGGAATAATCTGTTGGCCCACACCCCTCCGCTGAGGAAGAGCCCAGCTGGTCACTTGCTCCCTCCGTGGGCTCCTCAACCACGAGGGAAGCCCTGGACCACCCACCAGGTCTCCAGGCACTGGGGGCTCTCCCTGGGCTCCTTCACGTGGAACCTCTCTGGATGAAGGACCCACAGTCTCACAGCACAGAGAAGAGCACCCACTGCTTGGTGGGACATTCTGACCACCCGATGAGACTGGGCATGCTTCTCTCTCTGAACCAGAAAATGTTCCGTGGGCCAGAGGTCCTGACCGCTGCAAACCCAGCTCGCTTTGTCCTCACCATCTAAGTCAAGGACGGCAAGCGGTTTTCTACTTCGGATTTTTCCATTCTGGCAGACGGGCCGTGACTTCTTGGTATCCTGTGTTAACGAGGATTCCGAGGTGCATCGTTGGGACAGTATGCAGTGATCAACTGGCGATGCCATGGATGCGGAACTGGGGAGTAGCCGTGGTCACCCCTTGTTTATTAGCACCCCTCACAGGGGAGCTCCCGAAACCTCACGTGTGGTCCTGCCATGCCTCGGGGCTGCTGTGCAGACTTCTGCCTGTGGCTTGTCGGGAGGGAACAGGCAGTTGTCAGCTCACTTCCGGTTTTATCCAACAAAGTTGTCACAGTCAGTATTATCCCTGCTCTTCTCCCTAAATAAGGAAGCTCAAGGTCTTGCCCCTAAGCCCCATACCAATGGCCGTGACGTGCTTTCTAAGAGTGAGGGACACCCTTCTCAGCACCAGGGTGGCAGCAGGGAGGTGGCAGCCACCGCTGCAGGCTTGGCAGCCAGCCAGCCTCCCGGGCACTGACGCCCCTTCTGACTCTCCCAGCCTGAGAAGCTGCCAAATGCCACCCACGTGTCCATGACCTGGGCTCATCCATGGGAAATGCCTCGGATAATATCTGTGTCATTGGGAGCACTGTTTGTCTGATGGTTGTTGAAGGGCCAGTGAGGACATGAGGAGGGGGGGTGACAAGGGGGATGGAGCTCTGAGAGAAGGCAAATGCGAGGGTCCCTCGGGGCACGGCACGGGCGATCAAACAGGACCGGCTCTGAGCCCTGAGCATGGCACTCAGGAGGCCCTTGGCTCCCCAGAGCCCCGCTCTCCCCTGCCGACTGACTGGAGAACACGTTAACTCCTTGACGCCTGGTCTCCAGGGCGCAGAAGCACCCCAGCGCCCCCTGGCACAGGCTCATTTAAAGGGATGGCTCTACCCAGCACTCACCCCAGGCGAGACCCCGGGGAGTCTTTCCCTTCCAGAAGTGAGTGGGCGGGGGTGCTGTGAGGTGGAGCGGGGCCTCCACAAAGTGGAAGAAAATGTCAGCGACCTGCTGTGTGACTCAGGGCGGCTCTCTTTCTTTCTGAGGGCCTTCGTTTGCCCTTCTATAAAATGAAGGGGACACGGGTATCAAATCTATAGCATGTGTAGCCCCACCGCCCACGTCCACAGCCATGGCAGACATCAATAATCAATCATGCCACCCTTTAGAAGCTTCAACACAGACTCCACTGAGCCCACTGCAATTACTTGGACTTGGCCCACAAGATAAAATTTACTTGCCATCCTGTGATTAGATGAGTTCAAAAGGCTCAATTCTAACACTGATGTGTGTGTGTGTGTGTGTGTGTGTGTGTGTGTGTGTGTGTTTGTGTATGTTGCTGTTGTTAAATGCTTTTCTTTCCTGGTGCTGAGGCCAAGCCACATTCCTCTGAGCCTGACCCTGGGCAGAAACTACACCCTCAAGGAAGGTGGGACTGGATGGATGCGAGAGGAGCGGCCACGACCAGCAGGGGGCGCCCTGGGTCTGTTTGGTACGGGCTCCATTAAAAAGGTGGTTCCATTTCTAACTTGTCATTGGCTTTTACACCTTTTCACAAGGGTGTGCCAAAAGCAGGTAACTCAGAGATGCTCAAAGTTCCTGAATTCTAGGGAGGCGGTACTGGAAGGAGCGCCAGGGACTGGATCAGTTAGTTTTCAGATGAGAAAACCGAGGCCCCATTAGAACCCTTGTCTTCTGATACTTCATCCACAAGGTTCTTCTCCAACCCATTTCTCTTCTCTCCGTCACACTGGCTTATCTCTTCCACTTGGGGGACAAAAGCAGAAATATTACTATTCCTTCCCCTTGAAGAGGTACTGTTTACTATTAATACCAGTACTAACAATAGCTAACCATTTACTAAGTACAATGTTGAGCATTTTACATAGAACAGTTCTATTGAATCCTTAAATAGCCCAATGAATCTGCAATAGTGAAACCTGAGGCACAGAGAGGTCAAGTAACTTGCCCAAGGTACAACAGCCACTAAGCCACAGAGCCTGGATTCACTCCCAATCAGAGGAGACGAGTTCGTTCTCGCGGCACAACAGCGATTCCCACACCCCTCCAGCAGCCAGGACAGGGAGCATGCCTCATTTAAAAGGAGAGGACACTAAGGCACAGCGAGGCCAAGAGAAACCAGCACGGTGACTGGCATGAGGCCAAGGCCCTGAGGCCTCTCACTGTGCAGGCAGCTGGCTCAGGGAGGGCTCCCCACATTTCCCTAGCATGGCTGCTCCAGGCTTTCCCTGCTGAATCCAGACTGCCAGCTCCATCCCAAGATTCAAATTCAACTACCCTTCTGGGCAGCTCCTGGTGAAGGGCATAAAGAGCTACTGGGTCCAATGAGTCTTAAAACCCCCCCCCCCCCCCATGTGAACAAGGACATGTCCTCTCCTTGGTTAACCAGGTTAACTAACACATCTAGTGGCTAACAGTGCTCAGCCTTGGGGAATGAACACTGACGGATGGAGGCCAGACACAGGCCCTAAAAAGAGTCTTCTCTCATATGGCACTGGGCTAAGTCCCTCAAGCTCTTCACCGATATCTCGGGTTCATCCTCCTTCTGTCACACGCTAGCGTGCATTTCCCGGCCTCCCCGAGGTTGGGCAGGCCACGTCACTAGTTCTGGCCCATGACTGCATGGAGTTAGCACTTCTCACTTCGGGTCGCAGCAGGTTAACTGCCTGTGTGAGTCCCCTTAGAGTTTTCTCTCCCTCTGACACAGGGTGGCAGCATTCCCTACAATGGCGGCTTTTAGCCTACGTCCAGAGCAGAGTGGAGCCCCTAAGCTCACCCACAATGGACATGTAGTGTGACTGAGAAATAAACTTTTGTGGTTTTTAGCTACCAAGATCGCTTTTTTGGCTTTTAGCCTACGTCCAGAGCAGAGTGGAGCCCCTAGCTCAGCCACAATGGACATGTAGTGTGACTGAGAAATACACCTTTGTGGTTTTTAGCTACCAAGATTGCTTTTTCACTTTTGGGATCTTCATTTCTGTGGCATAACCTCGCCCCATCCTGACAGTTTCAGCACCAATGTCAGCCCTGCTTCCTAGACCCTAGGACTTTGCTAGGAGAGCATAGGGACGTAGACCTGACAGGTCCTGGAGCTCCACTTCCAAGAGTTCCTCACCTTGTGGCAGATGAGCATGGACCGGGCACCTCTAATGAGAAGTGCCCCAGTGAGAGACAGGGTAGAAACACACCACTTCTGACCAGAAGAAATCAAGGAAGGCTTCTGGGAGGAGGTGGCAATATAGTTGGCCTTGAAGGATGGGTTGGATTGGGGCATGAGGAAATGGCCAAAGGCATTCCGGAACAGCAAGGGGAAAGGGCAGGAAATGCTGCAGAACAGACTGCACTGGAGTGAAAGGTCCGGAAAGATCAGAAATAAGAAATGAGGCTCAAAGGCTCAGGTTATGGAGATTCTTGGTGCTATCCCCTAGACACAGTGGGGAATCCCAAGTTTAGAATCAGGGCATGACATGCTCAGTGTCCTGCTTTGGCCAAGGCCCCTGGCAGCCAGAAAGGAGAGCAGGTGAATGCAGGGAGACACAAAGGCATGGTTGTTAGTGGGATGCCACAATGACCCAGGTGGGGCTGATGGTGGCCGCAACCAACAAAGGAACAGGTGGAATAGGGAGCTCCAGGCTCATTCCCAAGGTTGGAAAGATAAGGCAACAGGACTTGAGCCAAACTTGGGAAACAGATACAGGGGAAGTTCCCCACCTTGGACGTGAGCCTAGAAGTCAGGAATGAGTTAGAGCTGGACCAGGAAGGACCGGCAGAGGAGAGGGAGATGGCAGAACTTCTTAAGAACTTCTAAGAACACACTGAACGCGGGAAGCAAGCAGGAAGGCACCAGTTAGAGCTGGACCAGGAAGGACCGGCAGAGGAGAGGAGATGGCAGAAGTTCTTAAGAACTTCTAAGAACACACTGAATGCGGGAAGCGAGCAGGAAGGCACTCCGAAACAGACCAGGCGAGGCCTCGATGCCAGGCCGGGGCATGTGGACTTTATCTTACAGACTTAGGTTTGCAAACTTCTGGCCCATGGAATGACTCTGACCCACAGACATGTTTTGTTTGGAACATTTAGTTGCCAACATTTAAAGCCAAAGGAATTCACATGAAAATTCTCACTTCTGGCATGCGGTACGCCCAGAGAGCTGGCCACACTGAGCCTGTCTCCCCACCAATTACAGTCGGCAGCAGCTGAGGAGCGAGCCCCCTCTGCACGCGGGGTGTGGGCGCTCCAGCTGGACTCGGTCCCCACCACCTGCCTGCCTGGCTCATCCCTCCTTGTGCTAAATAAACATATCTGCGAGGCCTCAGAGAACCTGGCAGGAACCAGGCAGCCTGAGGGGTATCCCCTGGCTCAGGCTGGGAAGCGAGGGGAGCGACGATTTCTAAGAAGCTTGTTTCCACAGAGCTCCTCTGAGCCAGGCCCAGATCAGAAGAGGCAGGGGTAGAAGGTACCAGTCCGTCCCCCATCCGGTCCTGACTGAGCATCTGCTCTGAGCAGGACCTGCACTGGGAGCTGCCCCGGGAGCCTCCAGTCCAGCAGAGGAGGTGGAAATACCGACAGGCATTTGGGACACCAGGCAACGCAGGCTGCGCTAGACCCCCCTGGGGCATGGGAGCCCCGCGCATGAGGGACTCACTGGTCTGCAGAATGTTCCAGGCATTTGACTTAAAGTCTCAAAGGATGCGTGGTGTTTTGTCACGTCAGGTGGAGAGAGGAGAGCTCTGGACTAGAGCTGTGCTGGCAGAGAGAAGTCTAAGGAGACCAGTTCTTGCCCCGAGGGCAGAGGGCAGCCACCATAGGCTCTCGACCAGGAGGGGCAGAGATCTGGGGCCTTCACTGCCCAGGACTCTGGGCTCAGCCCCAACCCCCTCAGGGCAAGCACTCACCGAGGGTCTGCTGGTTGCGGACGCCGCCGATCACCACGCAGATCTCGGCGGGCACGTCGCCGGTCCCATCCTTGCTGACAGCCTTGCTCTCCTCCTTGGCCTCGCCCTGCCAGATCACCTCCTGGATGTAGTCGTCAGGCACCTCTGTCTTCACCTTCACCTCCGTCATCGTTCCCTGCTCGGCGCTCAGCGAGGCCTCGGCCGGCACGGGCTCCGGCCCCTCCACCTTGGCGCTCTTCTGGCTGCGCTTCAAGCGCTCCCTGGGGAAGAAGAGAGTCTGTTCAGAGTGGACCCCATGCCCACCCCCAGGCCCACCTGGGGGCCCACCAGCCCAGGGGGCGGCACAATCTTTAGCTACAGACCCACCTGTCACGTGAACCTCTCCTTGAAGCACATGGCCATGGCTGCCCCTGAGGGTCCTTCGGGGAACCCTGGGGCTCCCAGGAACACAGTTTGAAAATACTGGGCTAGCCTGGCTCCACCACCACCCATTTTACAGATGGGGAAGCTGGGGTCTAAAGAGGTCTACCTGTGCCCAGGAACTCCTGAAACTGGCTCTGGCTGATGGAAATAACTTCTCAAGCTTCACATAAATTAGCTGAGAATCTTGGCAAAACGCAGATTCCGGTTCAGCAGGTCGGGGTTTGGCCTGAGATTCTATGTTTCTAACCAGCACCCCACCCCGACACTGGCGCTGCTAATTCTCCTTCGCACAAGGAGCCGCAAGCATGTACGTGGTTCGATGTGCGAAGTGTCTGGTGCTGTTCTCTTCGCTCCTTGGCAGGAGGCCTAGAGGCCTCATCCAAGCTCTTCCCTCTCCAGTGTCACAGACGGAGAAACTAGAAGCCAGAGAGGCTCACTCGGTTGAGATGTCCTGGAGCCAACACTTGGCGCCCAACACACTGGCCTCTAAGTGGCTCTTCAAATATCAGAAAACATCCTCCAGGTAAGAGCTCAGTACTGAGGCGGGCAGGCCAGGTGGACACAGGGGCCTGGAGCAGAGCTGTGACTGGCCCTGGGCTACACACAAGACTGGTGGCAGTTCACAGCATGAAGCCCGGTCCCTACTATTCACTCCTGAACGGTGTTATCATAAGGACTCGCTCATGCTCCTGGCAGGAGACTGTCACCACTGCTCCTGCTTCTGAGGTGGGGAAGCTAAGATGTGCAGAAACTGGGAAATCGAGTCAGATTCCAGGCCCGGGGCTGCTGCCCTGGCCACGCCCAGCCTCCTCCACTGCTCCAGAGAAGCATCTGCAGGGCCATCTTCAAGGCCCAGACTCCAGGCCGCTCGGGCAAGACCCCCTGGCATACCAACTGGGAAGCAGGGACCCAGGTTCTGATCCAGGACCCACAGTGGCCTTGTTGTGTGACTTTGGACAAGACCCTTCTCCTCTCTGGGCTCTAGCTTCACCTATCACAACAGCATGGGTTTTATCACATCTCTGTCCCTCCCAGCTCTGTCCAGGGTGAAGAAAGTGAGCCGAGAGAGAGAGAGAGATAGACAGAGAGAGAGAGAGAGAGAGAGAGAGAGAGATAGACAGAGAGAGAGAGAGAGAGAGAGAGAGAGAGAGCGCCCCAAACTAACAAGGGGGCAGAGAAAGGCCATTGGAGGTGCTATACACTAAATTGTGTCCTCAACCCCCCAAATCACATGGTGAAGTCCTAATCCCCAGTGTGACTGTATCTGGAGAGAGGATTTCGACAAGGTAATTAAGGTTAAATAAGGCCATAAGGGTGAGGCCCTATGATAGGACTGTGGCCTCAGGATAGAGACAGAGGGACTCCTCTTTCTCTGACTCTGCCCCCACGGTGTGAGGACACAGAGAAGGTGGAAATAAGGCCATAAGGGTGAGGCCCTATGATAGGACTGCGGCCTCAGAAGGAGAGAGACAGAGGGGCCCCTCTTTCTCTGACTCTGTCCCCACTATGTGAGGACACAGAGAAGGTGCAAGCTAGGAAGAGGGTCCTCACCAGCACCCAACCCTGCTGGCCCCCGATCTCAGACTTCCAGCGTCCAGAACTGGGAGAAGGCGTCCAGCCTATGGTACTTCGTTATGGCAGCCTGAGTGGACTAATACAGGAGGCCAGGACTCAGACGAACCGGATAGGAATGAAAAGGTAGGCAGAGGGGACACCAGCCACTGGCAAGAGCTATGGAGTCAGTCACTTCCGGTGTGACTTGAGCCAGCTACCGAACCTCTGAGTTTCAGTTTTCACATCTGCAAAATGGAGCTAACATGGTTCTCACATGGGTTTCAATCAACCAAGGCTTGAAAAACATGAGCACAGTGCCTGGCCTGCAACCACTCTCAAGACACGGCCACCATTACTATTATCAATAATGGCAAACTGTTAGCACATCTTTGGTACCCGGTGGGCCCAGTGACGCCTCCTAGTGTGCCTGGTACATCACGGCCAGACACTGTCTGACCTCATGCCCTTCTCCTCGGTGGGAAATGTAAAACTAGATGATTCAATCCTCTCAGCATTCATTTCCTTTATTGATTTAAGAAACATTTCAATAAAGTGTCCTATGTACCAGGCACTGTTCTAACACACGGACTCCTCTTACCCTCAGTAACAGCCTGTGAGGTCAGTCCTGGTATTATCTCCATTTTACAGATGAGGAAACTGAGGCACAAGGTGAAATAACTTGTCCAAAGTCACATGGGCACAAAGAAGCGGAACCAAGAATTGACGCAGGCATCCTGGCTCTCACTGCAACATGCTTAGACTGGGAGAGGAACCGCCAGAGGGAGCCTGCCCACTGGCATCGTGCAGCCCCCATGTCACCATTCTTGCCCTTCAGCATTCGAACAGAGTCAGGCTAAGGTCCTAGTGAGTGAGCAGGAAGGCGGGAGGCTCCTGGCTTTTTGGCTGCTGCTGCCTCCCCAGATATCTTGAGCTACAGCCCCCCTGCTAAGGTCCAGAGCCCCGCCACCCCTTTGGGAGGGCATCATGCTTATTCCATCCCCCCGCAAAAAGCCTGAGTTCAGGGAGTCCCAGGAGCATAACCAGGACCAACAGGTCTGAGAAGTTACAAGGGACAGCTATGGTCTAGGAGGGAGAATATTCCTGCAGGCCAGCTAGCCAGCCAAACGAGGGGCATGCTTAGGGTGGGGAGCTCCCTGGCCCTGAGGCACTGGAGCAGAAGCTAGCTCAAGGCCTGGCAGGATGGGATGTGATGACCTGAGATGGAACGAGCATCAGGGTTTGAAGTCGAATCAGCTGGGGGCCAAATTTCGGCACTGCCCCTCCCAAGCAGTGGGTTTCTGCATGAGTGACTTCACACACACTCATCCCCACCCCAAGCCTCAGTCTTCACAGCCATATAATGGGTAAACACAGCACCCACCCCTCAGCGCTGTGATGCAGAGAGGACAAGGCAATATCTGCATGGGCCTGGGACAGTGCCCCAGGGGAGATGTTCTATGGGTATCTACTGTCTTGGGGGAGGGGAGTATGCACAGGATGCGGGGAAGGGTCTTACATGGCATAGACTGTAGTGAAGGGGCCGGGGAGGTAGACAGACAGGAGTTCAAATCCCAACTCTATCGCTTCCTGCCTGGTGACGCTGAGCGAGCCCCCGACCCTCTCTGAGCCTGTTTGCATATCCATGAAGCAGGGCCCCCACACCTACTCAAAAGGCCTTGTGAGGATCAACTGCAAAAATGTAAATCCAGGACCTTGTCTAAATCAACTCATAGAGATGATCATGCTGGTGGGAACTGGTGAAAGAAGTGGCTGAAATCCCCATTCCCTAGCTGAGACCACGTGGGCGCTCATGGTCAGCCAATCCTGCCCGCTCTGAGGCTGGAAGCCAGGGTCTGTCTCACCCTTGATGCCAATCCAGCAAGAACACAGCCCATAGGTCAGGGGGTGGGTGGGGGTGCTGGGCAGGCAGCTGAGGTCTCTCCCTGGCTTGGCCCTCGCTGGTCCCAACCCTGGCCGCCCCGAGCACAGCTTCCCCAGAGCAGCAAAGAGGCCCGCTGGAGCGGGTGTCCAACCTGCCAGTGTTCCCCACAGCGGAGGTCATGGGAAGGGCAGGGCAGGGAAGGGCAGGGCACAGACTGGGCCCCCTTACCTCAGCCCTTCCTTCACTGGCAGTTTGGAAGCTCAGCCTGAGTCCTGTGAGCACTTGATTGTGCCATCTGAACGGACTCCGTGTCCCTTTCTGCTCTCCAGGACCTCACTAGCATCATGACGTCCTGCTGAGAGGGAGGAGCTGTTGGGAGTCAGAAAGGCCGGGCATCCATACACCCGGTGACCTCGGGCAAAGGGTTCCCTTCTCTGGGCCTCAGTTTCCTTCTCTATTAAAGGGGGACCACAATCCTTGCCAGGACGGGGGCAGATGAGCCAGGGGGCTGGCAGAGAGGTTTCCATGGATGGCAGCTGTCATTACGAGGATGACATCCCCACCTCCGGGAGCCTGCCCTGCTCACTGGAGATGCAGTTAGAACCTCTCTCTGAATGTCCCCTCCGCCCTGCACAGGCGATTCTTGCACTTTACACTGGGAGCCACGTGAGCCATCCTCTCACCCACAGGCACCGTGGCACACAACATACGCTCCCTTACATGTGACACCCCTGAGGCCTTGCTGTGCGGAGGACACGGCTTCATGCTTCAGATTTACAAGCCCAAATGTTGCTTTTCTCGGCTGCTTTGCATTTAATTAGGCGTCCTCATAACAACGGAATCGCAGGAGTACTTACATCACTTTGAATTAGTGGCGCAGCTCCTTCTAACTTCTGCAAAAATTTTTTTTTCTCATCTATCATTTTTTAAAATAGAGCTCATTATTTTAATTATATCCATTTAAATGTACAGTGGAGCCCTTGGATATTCTCAGCACGAATCATTAGGTATATTAGTGAAAAGCACTCGGAATCCATCTACACGCTGACACTCCACAATCTATTCTATTTGTGTCTCTGTAAAACAGATTTATATATAGATAACTACAAAATAGTTGCTCAAGATATGCCATGAATTTTATATTTAGCCCGAGTCACACTTCAACATAGAATCTAAAGCCGGGCACCGAGAGGCTATTTCTCAGCAAGTACATAGCGTCTGCGGTCGCTGGCTACTCCTCATGCCAGAATGCTGGGACAGAAGCCAGACCAAGCGGGTTCTTGCCCAAGGAATTCCCTAAGAGCCCTCGCCTTTCACTAAGGTGATGGTTCTCAAAGTGTGTTCCTTAAAGGCCTAGGGGTTCCATAGCAGTGGCCCCCAAAGCACTCATGAAGTCTGAAT